ATCTTTTTTACCCCCAGACCCCCTCCCTTCCCCTTCCACCCCTTTGTCCTATCTAGAGTTCATCTAATCCTCTCATGCTCCCCCTCCCAACCCTACTATGAATCAGCCTCCTTATATCAAAGAAAACATTTAGCATTTTGGTTTTTTGGTATTGGCTAACTTCACTTAGAATTATATTCTTTAACTCCATCCATTTATCTGCAAATGCCATGATTTTATTCTCTTTTATTGCTGAGTAATATTTCATTCTGTATATATATCACATTTTCTTTATCTATTTATCTACTCAAGGGCATCTAGGTTGGATCCACAGTTTAGCTATTGTGAATTGTGCTGCTAAAAACTTTGATGTGGCTGTGACCTATAGTATGATGTTTTTAAGTCCTTTGGGTATAGACTAAGGAGTGGGATAGCTGGGTCAAATGGTGGTTTCATTCCCAGATTTCCAAGGAATCTCCATACTGTTTTCCATATTGGCTGTACCAATTTGCAGTTCCACCAGCAGTGTATGAGTGTGCCTTTCTTCCCACATCCTCACTAACACTTATCGTTGTTTGTGTTCTTAATAGCTGTCATTCTGATTGGAGTGAGATGAAATCTTAGAGAAGTTTTGATTTGCGTTTCTCTAATTAATTGAGAAGTTGAACATTTTTTCAAATATTTGTTGATTGATTGTATATCTTCTTCTGAGAAGTGTCTGTTTAGTTCCTTAACCCATTTGTGAGCATCTATTTTATTTCAGGCACAATGTCAAGTGATGTTTTGATGGTGGTGCAAAAGATAGACAAAAATGTCAGCTCTCGTCCAGGTTGTTCTTCAAGCGAAAAACATAATAAACAAACAAGAACATATGAGGTAGAGCTATGTCCTATGATAAAAATAAAACTTCATGATGGAATGAACTACATTAGACTGGGTGGTGATGGAAAGTTTTAATAGCAGGTAACATTTATGCTGAGACCTGAAGGACAAGAAGTCCAGATCAGGAGGAGGGATATTTGAATCAGAACAGTTAGTACAAAAGGCCTGAAGTATCTTTTGTTTAATTTTTTTTTTTTTTTTTTTTTTTTATCAATGAAGAGGCAAAGGCCTTTGGAAGCATAGGGAGTGAGGGTGAATGGTGACTGGTGGACAGGGTCCAGGACCTGGATGCCAAGTAAGAAGCTAGACCTTATTACAAGGGCAATGGGAAGCCACTGGAGCCTTTAAGCCAAGGATTGACATATTCTGATTTACATTTTTAAAGAGTCACTCTGGCTCCCATAAGGAGAATTGATTATTGGAGGGTAATGACAGAAAGCAACAATGTTTTTGTTATCTGTTTCTGTATAGCCACATCTATAACTTACTACCTTTAAGTTACTATATTTTCTCACTGCTTTGTGGGTCAGGAACTGTGAGAAGGATTCAACTGAGCAGTTTATCTCTGATTCATGAGACATCAGTTGGGGTGACAGAGGCTGGAGGATCCATTTCCAAGATGGTTTCTTCTTGCACAAGTGTGATGCCCTTGTGTTTCTGGACTTTTCTCTTCTTTCATGTGGCAACTCATTTTCTAGGCCCTATTCATGTGGCTTCTCACAGTCTGCTTGTCTCAGGGAAGTTCTACTTCTTACATGAAAACTCATTTCTAAGGGAAAGGAATCCTACCCAGTATTCTACCTGGAACTGACCCCACAATACATTAATTATTTCATTCATGCTCATTAGTCAAAGTCATCAAAGAGCTCAACCAGATTAAAATGAGTGCAGAAATAGACCTCATCTACTCATGAGGAACAGGGTCACATTACAGAAAGACAGAGTAGGGAGAGAGATACTGTTGAAGCCATCTTTGGAAAATACAATATTTCACAAGTGAAGGGCTACTCCAGTAATTCAGGTAAGAACTGATGGCCACTTAGATTTGGATGTTTGCACTAGAGAAGAAAAAGGTATGGATTCCAAAGAATATATGACAGGACACATGGGAACTATAAAGCACTAACAAATGCATCTGAGTGTTTGTCAATTGAACTGCACCGTGTAAGATTACATGATGAGTGTTATCCACCACCAACAAAAGTAAGTCACAAATATATCTGATCTATTCACATGATTCTCATGCTTCAAAAATGTGTTTTGTTTTAAAGCATTGGTTGTTAGGGCAAGGAGTTGATGAAGCCTGGATATCAGAGGTATGCGATGAGGTAAAAGTATAGACTATGGAGGCCAGGGCTTGCCATGTCCTGTATCTAAGTGTGCTTCAGAGGATAAAGAGGGTCTAGCAACATTATATTTTCAAAGGCTTCATGGAAATGAGTGTATGTGACCACAGAAAGATCTGGGTGGTTTTTACTTCACACATTTGGTTACTTGAGTAGACAGTTCTTAAGGAATGCACCAAAGAGTGTATGTGAAAAAGGAGCATTTTGGGGGAAACAATATTGCTGGGAGCTCTTTTCCCACTTTATTATATGACAGAATTACCCAGAAACTTGCCCAGATTCACCCAGTGAATTATTGGTAGAGCTGGTGCTAAAACACAGGAATCCTGATTCCACTATGGGATTCTTTCCACCGCATCACCTGCCATTCTGCCCAGAACACAGCTTTGTTCTGTTCTTTGGTCATACTGAGCACTTGCTATATTGCTCAAGGGACTTTTAAATAGTGCCAGAGGCTATTAGAAGAGGTTGTGAACAAATCGAATCTGTTTCCACTACTGGAAAAATAATTCTAAAATATGCTTTGCTAATTTTACTCAGTTGCTTCTCTCTGAGGAACAGACAGTACATAATGTTCATGTGAAACATCCTTACAGTGAGACCACTTCCTATGTGGCTAAATGTGTCACAGAATATTTTTTAAAATTCACAAATGGCTTAAGATTCTGTCACCCTATAACTCTCTGTTCTTACATCTGTACCAAAATAACAGTTCATGATGACCAAAATCTTTTGGATTAGAAAGTAAGAAAAACAAATGATCTTTACTGCACATGATGGGGGAAGGGGGGTTATGAGTATATTACAGCCAATGTTTGTACACGCAACTTCTATTTTATACATATGGATGCATGATTTTTATTTTTATTTTCTCAATAATGTGGGCAGAGCTCTACTTCACACATGGGTAAAAATTTATATATTCTAAACATTGTAATTTCATTTCAACTACTTTTAATTTCTTCAGTATTTAGCCAAATAAAATAATTTGCTTCTATTTATTTTTTTTAAAAAAATATTGATTACTCTGATTGTAATTGGCATTTCTGCCACCCTCTTTCTATTTACTGGGATGAGATTAATGGCCCAAAGACCAATGTTTTCCCATGTAGGTTTTGTTTCACATTTGAGCTTATTTGAACAGTTATTACCTCCCCACACACTTAAAGGATCTATAAAATATTGCTCCTTGATCCCTGCATAAGAAGCAATTTGTTGGCTTTAGTGTTGGAAGGCAATACCTTGGGATTGGTGCCTGGGAATGTGTAAATCTTGCCCGTGGATTTCGCTGTCTGTTCAGCAAGATTGCACCACTAAAACCTCACACCTTTATTATGTTTCACATGTTATATTGCACTGACAAGTTTAACTGCATCCAAAACTTGGGCCAGGTGGTGTTTAAATCCCAAATACCTTAAAATTAGAATGCCTCGGGCAAGAAAAACTGACTATTCAGTAGGCACAAGTTGTAATATTTCAGGCAGAACATGTCAAAATCAGCATTTTGACCATAGATTTTTCTAGCACATTTACATTAACCTTTATGCATCTCATAAGGGTTTTAAAACAGTTGCTTCAACAGTGTTTTTCTGTTGGTCTTCATTAAATCATCAATATTAATTATTTTGAAAGTCCCTTTTAGAATCCCAGAAGCTGTCTCTTTCCCAACCCCCACTTAAAGCACTTTCTCTTAGGCCTAAAAATTCAAGTACTCTCTTAACCAAGTGCAGACTGAAATATTTCACTATGGATTTGAACAGGAGCCAAGACTGACGATGAAAGGAAAAGTTCTCCCTATAAAAGGTTTATTGTCAGAGCTTTCTGAAGATGTGGATTTTTTCTAACACAGGCTACCAACATTTTCACAAACATTGATGCAGTCCTCTCCACCTCCCCTAAACCATGATTTCTCTTAGGAATGCTCTGTGTCTAGCCTTTGACCTTTTGGATAAGCCAAGTCTACCTAACTATTCCCTCCCCCATCAATATAATGTATATTATAAAAAGGAAAGGGGGATGGGTAGCTTAGTCTTCAGCTATTGGAAAAGCACTTGAAATTCCTTGCATTCCTTTGCATTTAACAGCATGTTTGCCTAATCACTGGTTTATTAGGATTAACACAAGCCATTGCTTCAAACTTACTTATTGAAAACAAACTGACTTCTACTATAGATTCCAATTTTTTTCTCTCTGATATCAGCCAAGGGTGAACCTTAAAGTAGCTGTCCTAATTTTGAAGAACAGTACTGGGAAAATACAAAGTTACAAACAAGTGACCTGTTATAATATACTATTCAGTCACACTTTGTCTTGCTCATGAATTTACATGTGGGTAGCCCACGTTATAAACTGTTTTCATTTAAAGGGTTTCTCTTGCCTCTTTTGAATTGACATGTACAATAACCTGATGACTAAAATGATTTTACCACACTTATCTCATAGAATGATGGAGATCCTTAGGCTTTGAATTCTTATGAAAATAAAGCATTTTTTAAAAATCACAAATTTAGCTTCAGATTTCCTCTTATACTTCATACAAGCCTACGGTTCAATACAAATTTTCCAAACAGATTACTTTATATGCAAAGATATTTCTCAAAAGATTTTCAAAGACAATCATTGTCGTATTTTCTTTCATAGTCTAATTCATTGCCATATCCCAATAAAGTACCTAAAATAGCTCCTGACATACAGTAGGCACTCAATAAATCCTGTTTGAAGACTGAATACATCAGCTAGATTGCTCCCAATAACTCGAGATGGTTTATAAAAATATTTAATAGCATACACTCAATTAGGTAAATATTTCTTTATTAAATGATTAATTCCATAAATAATTTCTTTTCACTGAATATAAAATTAAAATCATTTACAAATTATTCCAGTATTACATTTCCCCTCCCCCCCAAAAGCTACATTTTGATAAATAAAAACATTCAGTCTTAAAACACCTGATTTCTGTTTGCAGTTTCGAGTGCAGGTAGCTGCCTCTAACGGACACTCATAGAGTGTCCCCCTCAGGAAGGGAGGGAAGGCCCTCCCATTTACTTCTGCCAAAGGACAAACGAAGGCTTCCACTGCCCAACCAATCTTATTATCTCTATTACAACTGTAGAACCCAAAGGGGGGAAAAAAAAGCCTAGAGAAAAATATGCTTAGCAAATAATTTACAAACAGAAAACAGAACGTCATCAACACCACAAGCTCCAAAATGAAGCAGTAAGATGTGCTCCAATACTATGAAGCAAAGTAATCTCCAATCGCGGCTGCATTAGTGTCCATCTGAACCAGCCCCCTTGGCAGTTTCGAAATACCTCAATGCTACTCAAGAACGAGCAAGGCATCCCTTCTACAAGAGTCCCTTCACCCACACCGCCCCCACCCATGTCTCCGTGATTCTTACACTCCAATCCCTCCTTTGTCCACCCTGGCACTGGAAACCCCGGTAGCATTTAGTCCCTAAATTTGTGAATGTCATTGAACAGCCTGTAGAAGGGAAATGCTGCCTCGTTGGCATGTGGGCAGTTGTAGTTGCATTTGCAGGACTGGATCATCATGACGTTCTTGGAAAACGTCTCCCCATCTTCGCAGCGGAACCTCATCTTGACAGTCCTGGTCTGCTGAGGTGTGCAGCATCGGCCGTCCACACAAGAGCCACAGTACTTGGGCCGGTACTTCTTCACACTCGAACATCCAGCGTAAGTATACCTGACTGGTTCAAGGGCTTTCTTGGTCTTGCTGCATTTCTTGCCCTTCTGTAAGAAAGAAGCAGAAAGGCAAGTCAGGGATAATATTTCTCTTTCTTGAAAGAAGGGTTTTCATCCCACCTGCTAGCAGGAACAGTCCCCAAGGCACTTAAGGAACTTACTTTCAGGCTGCTGTACACAGGCTGTCCACAAGGCCGCACTTCACAGATCCGGGTTTCTTTCACCAGGCGGCATTCAGGGTTGTCATTGGTAACTCGTGTAGAGATACCAGTTCCACAGGTCTTTGAGCACTGGGACCATGAAGTTGTTTGAACAATACATTTCTGGCCATGCAAAGGGTTGTAAAGGATTCGAGGTTCCATGCCAAAGACTAGAGAGAGAAACAAAATGGATTTCTCAGAGGCATGCTGACACACAAAGATCCAAGTACTAGTGCCTGAAACTTCAGACTAGGAATGTGTTTCAGTACATTATCTTAAGGGCTCAGTCTACTTACCAGGGAGCCGCTTCAGCAAGCCTCCTTTTCCAACTGCAATTAATTCATTGTTTCTCGTTAACTCCACCTCGGAGGCATCGAATCCCAGTCCCTTGCCGAGGAGATCATCCTGGTCATCCATGGGGTCCTTGCCACCATCCTCATCACAGACCCACTCCTCGCAGCACTGTCCGGTGACTTTGACCAGCCGGGGATTGGGACAGCCCAAGTTGGGGAGAGACAGTTCTTGGGGACACAGAGGAATGCAGCCCACTGCGCCATCTATACAAGTGCACTGATGTTTACAGTTGGGCTGGAAGCTTTCCCCGTTCTGATAGATTCTGGAGTTATATTCACAGGGTCTGCCCTCTGACTGAGCTGCAAAGATCATCAAAAGAGAAAGAGAGAGAGGATAAGGCTAAGATTCTCAATCATGGCCTGAAGCTCATGCATATTTTCTGCCGTTAAATTCAATTTATGGTAAAGTTCCCTACAATTCCCCTGAGACTCCAGACCAGAACAATAAGTTAGTCAGGAATCACTTTTCCGTATGCGCTTTTCGTTGGGCCCAGACACACTGAATTGCATTCCAGACTGCTGAAATCATGTGCCTTTCTGCCAAGCTACCAACAACAAAGCATCACCATACATGGTCTCAAAATTACTAAACTTCTGGACTATGGGGACTATTATTTTTTTTAAAGGGGCCAAACCACAAGCATCTTACCTCTGCAGATCCCCTTCAGAGCGGTGGAGCTGGCGCCGAAATTGCATTCCAGCCCCTTGGTGTGGTCGCAGGGCTGCATTTTGCTGCAGTCCTCGTTGAGCTGCTTGGCGCAGACCTTGCAGCAGCCACAGCCGTCCCTGACCAGCCCAACTCCCGGGGCGCACTTGGGCACCTCCAGGGGGCACTGGCAGGCGGCGGGGCAGGTGGAGAGCGCCTGGAAGCGGGAGAAGAAACAGATGAGCCTCGCTGCGGTGAGCAGGAGAAGCGCCCAGGCTGCCCCGGGAAGGGAAGGGGGGTCTCTGACTCTATCGACTGGAAGTCTCTGATCCATCCAGCCCTCCCGGCCACTCCAGCGGCTTCGCCCATCAAGAGGCCCCGACAAGTCATCTAGGGGCTTAAAGAAACAGCTACCTTTAAACGCCTCCAAACTTTTTAGTCTAGCTTTTTCCTGACGTGGGCAATCTGGGACAACGGAAAGGGACCGGACAGCCGACGGGAAAGCGGTGGCAAAAGAGTCCAACTCACCAGCCTGGTCAAATGGAGAAGGGTGACGGCGACGGCGAGCGCCCTGGCGGTGCGGGAGCTCATTGTGGCGCGCAGGAGGAGCTGGGACGATCGCGGCTACAAGGACTCCAACGAACTGGTGCACAGTGGACAGGCCCGGCGCGGCTGGGTCTGCGCTGTAGATCGGGTGAGCAACCACGCGAGGGCCGAAGCGTTGAGCGTCTGGCTGCGGGCGTCCTTCTCTCGAGGTTCTTGCGGAGGAGGCACTGAGGGCGCGGGCGCTGCTCTGGGGCGCTCTCGCTCGCGGTCTGCCCAGGCGCCCGGAGCCCGCCTTTTATACCGGCCAGCGGCGGCGCCGCGTGTTGCAGTGACGTCGGCTCTGTCTGCGCGTTCCAGAATTCTCAAACATCTCAGGAATGTTGGTTGGCGCGGGCCGCTGCCAAGCGCCTCCCCTGGCTCCATTGCACCTTTTTTTTTTTTTTTTGGTCCCGAATCCATCAAGAAAACAATCCGTTTTTTCCACTTAACGACTTCCATTTGGGAGGGATCCTTTGGCCGTGATGATGGTGATGGTGATGGAAGGGTCGTAGAGGGGCGGAGGGGATTGTTCACAACTTTGCCAGGACATGGAGGGTGGGAGGACCTGAGAGGGAGGAACAAAAGTCGTTTTGTTTGGTGATGCAGGGTTGACCGGGCAGCCACGGAAGCCCTCACCCAGGAAAGCAGAGAGTTGTTTGCTTGTTTACAGCGAAGGTGAGAGTCAAGTTATCTATTGAGAATCCAACGGGGAGGGGGGAGTGTGTCTCTGGGCCTGAAATCTATTTGTGGACTTCAAAGAGGCATGCTCGGATCAAGTCCCAAAGCTTTGGCATGATGTTTATTAGCCCAGTTAAATGTATTGCAAATTAATACCCACAGTGGCATTTATGAATGAGAGGGGGAAAACATCAACTTCCCTCATCGCCTGGCAAATTCCCAGGCAGAGGTCTTCCCCCCCTTCACCACCCCCCTCCTTGGTATGTTGTACTTGTTTGTTTTTGGAGGTTCCCACTTTAGTTCCAGCCCACTGCCTGGGTTGGAAGTCCAAGAGGAAACTCTGGGAGTTCTCCGGGAGGCTGACTTATACTTCCTTACGGATGCGGGAGACCGGGTAAACCCTCCCAGCCTCCCTCCGCGGGCAGCCGGGGATGTGAACTAAGCAGTGAGCCAGAAGTCGAGGGGACCACCGTGGAGTGATTTGGCTTGAAATCATCACCTACGAATGCTGCCAGGCCCAAACAGATTTCAGCAGTATAGTTGTGCCCGGTAGATCTCTGGAAAAGGTAGAATCCTTACAGCTGAAAGTTTTGCGGGATCTTTAATTCCTTTCCTTGGGAACCTTCGGAAACCTTCCATTTCAAATGAATTGCAATGCCTAAGTACAGAAAAATAAAGAATTTAGGATGTAACATGCTTTAATAAAAATGTCAACAGATTTTAAGATCCTGTTCTACCATGAACGCACAGTAAGGGACCCCTCACAAGACAATTTATATGAACATCACCAATGTGTTAGTGTGGTTTATTTTTCCTAAAAGTTTCAAAAATTATCTTCTTGTATAATTTAAAGAAAAGCTTTATGTCTGGTTCCCCTTCGTATATGCTTTAGTATGACCACTCTTCCTTTTTAATATTTAGGGCTGTTCAGTCTTCGCATTTTTGCAGTCTTGGTTAGGGAGGCCTACAGTGCTGACTTTTCTGTGAATTATTCTGATGAACCCAATGAGGAGCTATTGGGATGAAAACACTCCAATGAAGACAATTGTTGCAGGAAAGAGTTAAGTTCATTCATTCAAAAGTGCTCTTTCATAAACTGAAGAGGTATTTGCTGGAGGGCTCTCTGAGGCTCTCTGGGGGTGGGGACTTTTCAAGACAATGGCTTGTCAGGTGTTATGCAAATAAAGGGAGAAAAGTCTGGGCCTTACTCCTTAGGGCAAGCCAATTCATCAATTATTAGAACCCCCCCCCCCCCCTAGTGTTTCATTGTTTCCTTCCTGGGAGGAGGGGAGGGGGTGTGTAGGCACAGTACTGGGTGGGAGGAGGTGATGGAGAGAGAGAATGGAGAGGAGGGTTCCTGGCTTCTGCTGTGGCGTCTTTTCTATTTGACTTCATGGTTGTAAGTATTTCCAGATGGTGAATCAGACACCAGACGTAACAATATTTCCATATTTGGGTATAGCAGTAGCCTGCGTTTTTAACATTTTTCTGCCTCTGTTATCCAACCACAAAGCATTCTTGACAGCTTCAAATGTTGTTAAATATAGACTTAACTTCTGTTCCCAGAGCAGGAAATTCTTTGGAATTCCTTGTTTTTCACGCAATCTGCCGATCATGATTTCAAATAAAATTACAATGGGTGATCCAACTGGCCCTATATATCTTGTTCCTTTATTGGGGGAGGGGGAAGCAGCAAAGAGATCCAGTTTGCTGCCCGGCATTCAAATACACAGGCCATTCCGCAGATTCCTTTAAAAATCAGATTAAAGTTTTCTAATAGGGTGTGTGGGGTTTTCCTTCTGGACTTCAACTGGGGAATCTTGGAGAGTGAGAATGACCCACAGGAGAAACTTAGAAAACTACCATCAGTTGCCCATTTAAAGCAAGGAGTATGTGGTGGGAGGGGAATGGGAAGCTGGAGCTTCAGGGCCAGGAGGTGGGGGAACCGAAGAGACTGGTGTAACCTATGTACATACACAGTCTTTCTATATACCATGTCCCGGTAAGCCTGCTAGCAGACGACTACATCAGGCAAGAACAGCGGATCCTCACGTCCTGCCCAAGGACCATCCAGAAACCCCAGACATCCCGTCGCCTTCTCGGCTGAGAGCGGCAGATCAGTTCATATTGAGAAATAGGAGGGGAAATGTGGAAATGTTTATGGGTAAGTATTACTTCGGTTCCTAATTCTGCATGGCTCTTTTTTGCTCTCTCTCTCCCTGCAGTGTGGGTACCCCAGGAGGGAATAACGGAACGCCTCGTTTCCTTGGGCTAAAAGCCACGAAGAAGGGTTTCTTGTCTTCTGCAGCTACTGACTTTGGGCTGAGCGTTACGGAGTCCCTTTCGCAGCTGCTGGTGAATTTTAGATTACCTTCACTGACAGCAACTAAAAACAACTATAACCCTAAACCCGGTGACTCTAGTTTCCTAGCCATTGTACAGTAGTTCCCAAACTTCAACGTGCATCTGAAGCACCTAGCAGGCTGATTGCTAGGCCCCACTCCAGAGTTTGTGATTCGTTACATTTTAACAAGTCCCTAGGTGCTGGGGATGCCGCTGGTACCGGATCACACCCTGGGAACCACAGCCTAGAACAACGGAAGTGCCTGTAAAATAGGTTGTGTGCGTCCGTCCGTGTGTTTATCATCAGAAACTGTCCTGCACACCCAGTCTCACAACTCCACTTTTGATAGCCACCTCAATAAACAAAACAGTGTATTAGAATCCAGCTTTAAGGCGGAGCCCCCGCGACATCCATGGCTCTCCAACACCCTCCTCCTCTGGTCCCCTCTTCTCATTGGCGTGATCGCCAAGAAAGCCAGAGGAAACCAGGATTAGGGTGGCGGCGGCGGGACCCGAGTGGCAGACGCGAGAGTAGGACTAAGTCGGCCCCTGGATCCCTGCGGAGACTGCGAGCCGGGTCCCGCGCCGTGGGAGGGCGCGGAGCCGGAGGCACCAGGACCCGCGCGGCACCGGGACGCGCCCGCCGCTTGCTGCCGCCGCCCCCTGCCGGCCGCCCGGCCCGCACGCCCGCAATACCCGCCGTGGCCAGGACTCTAGGTTTCCGGCGGCGCGCGGCACAGGACGTTTCCAGCCCCGGCCCATATTTGGTGAAAGTCTTTTAAGACTCCGTCATCCAGCTCCGGGGGGCGGCGGCGGCGGCGGTCCTGGGAGCGAGCTGGGCAACCGCACGGCCGTCGTCGCGTTCCTGAAAAGTGCGCCGCGGTCGCCCACACCCAGGCCTCGGGCCGCGCGGGACCCGGAGCTTGGCGGGCACGCGGGCCTGCAAGCAGCCTGCGGGATCGCGGGCCGCCTCACTTCAACCCGCACCCCTGGGAGATTCGAAGGCGGCCCCGCGCTGCGTGGGAGGCTGGCGCGGAGGGCGCCTCGGCTAGATTGTGTCACTTTTCCCGTCCACCCCGCTGTTGACTCGTCCTCCCAGCGGGGCAGCGAGTTGCCGCTCTGTGCCAGACTTAGAGGGTACGCCCAGGCGGCGGGGGCGGAGGGTGGCGTTGGCTCAGATACGGAGTGACCCCAGCAGGGATGTGGAGTCGCTCTGGGGAAAAGCTCCAAAAGGGCCCGGGTTCTATTGTCTTGGAAGGAATATAAACTAGAGGGATACATGCTTTTTTTCCTCCAGGTCTTCCACAACCCTTTCCTCTCTTCCTCCTCAGTTCCCTATAGCCTTGGGTAAGCTGCTCACCCTCTCTGAATCTTGTGGGCTTCATAAGCATATTAGGAAAGGGGGCAGTGGGTGATAAAACAGGAGCAGTCCCTTTCAGAACTAAATCTTATTACACACACACACACACGCACACACGCACACACACACCCCTCCCCATGAAGAAAAGAAACACTTGAAAATGGCTCATTCTATGTCTGGGCACCATTTTGAAGATGTGCTGTATATTGACTCTAATTGTCCCCTGCCTCATTGAGGCAGGTCCTCTTGCTAACATCATTTTCTACCTAAATGAGGAAATGGAGGCTCAGAAAATAAGAGTCTACTTAGAAGTCACTCACTTAGCAGGTTGCAGAAGTGGATTTGACCCAATACATCTTGGTTTAAACAGGTCGGGCACTAAACCACTGGTCTGTATGGCCTTCTCTCTCTTACCTCAGATATTCAGGCCTGTCCCTTCTCGTGGAATTTTCCCTTTATTTAACTTTATCACAATTTGCCCGGGTAGTTTAGGAGAAATGCTTCAGCTAGAAAAATAGTTGATTAATTAACTGAAGCTGCTAATCCCTAAGTATTGCCTATTGTAGTGGGGGAATGGGTTTCCATTTTAACAGAAAAAGCCTTCATACAAACAGGTTTACAGAGTGAACTTTTAGGCACCTTGGCAGGCTAGTGGAAAATAGGACCTTAGGAGTTCTTCTGATACCTCCTAAGCTATATTGAACAGACAGTCTCTACTTCTGGAGTAAGATTTGTCCTGGTGGAGACTAACTGCATTCATAACTGAGCTAAAATTTCTGAGTCATGCACTTGATAGTTTATCAGTCTCAGTAAAGGATAAGAGTCAGCTTTTAACCGGTTCCCACCACCACCACCACCATCACCAAACTGTATGTTATGAGTGCAGTTACATTTATGTTTGAGGACAGATTTTTTGGGGGGGAGGATTGGGATGGGGAATTGAACCCAGGAACACTGCACCACCAATCCACATCCCCAGCCTATTTTATTTTTATTTTGAGATAGAGTCTTGCTGAATTCCTCAGGGCCTTGCTAAGTTGCTGAAGCTGGCTTTCAACTTGTGATCCCCTTGCCTCATTCTCCTGAGTCACTGAGCTCACAGGCATGCATCCCGGCTGGTTCTGAGGACAGATTCTTTATCTTCTGAACCCCAGATTTATTCAAAGCTCATGATATGTTGTGACACAGTGCTAGGCACTGTTGACATAAAAAAAAAAAGGCTTTAAACATTGAACTTGCCTGGGGGACTTCGAGGTCTGTTGAAAAAGTGGGTACAGTGTATTGTGTGTGCTTCACTGCCTGAAGAGTTAGGGTGGAACTACATATCTGGATCTACATCTCATCTGATAGCAGGCAAGAACATTTAGGAAAGAGGGAATAGAGCCTTGATAGGTCTAATGTGGCTGGACAATAGGATTCTTCTGGAGTACTGGCAAGAGAGGTCAGCTGAGACCTTCTGCAAATGGCCTAGCCTGTCATGACACTGGGACTTTGCCTGTAGGCAGTGATGAACCATATGAGCTTTTTGCCTTGTCTTCTTCATCTGTAAGATAATGGGATTGTTCCAGCTCAGGAGACACACACACAAGTTCATGAAGGATTAAGCTCCATATTGAAATACATGCCTGGCGATTAGTGCCAACTGAAACTTGGTCTAGATGTTGGGCACCATGGGGGGAGGGGGTAAGTGGTTGCCAGGTGAAAATATAGGCCTGTCTTCAATTTTTAAGAAGAAATAACAGAGATCTGGATTTTTTTTTGTGGAGTCTTCAAATTTTTAAAATATTGGCAATTAAAATGTTAAAATACTATCTAGGCTGATAGGTAGAAAACAGTATCTGGATTGCCAGTTGTGATCTCCAGGGGGCATATCTAAAAGAATCTATCCTGCTCCAGCCTTTTGAAACTCCTGGTCACCTGGTGTCCATTTAATTGCCAGTTGGAATAGACTTTATTAAAGAATCAGAGCTTCCACCTAGCTCTTGTCAACCAAATTGGAAAAGGTGTCTTTTTCTTATTTTTACTTTATCCACTCCCCAAATAATACTCAGTCTGTCTTCTTCCTCTCCCCCTGAATTAGTGTTTGGCAGCATGATAGGAAACACCTTTAAAAAAAATTTTTTTAGGGCATCTGTATCCAATGGGAACTGTGTCTGTTTATTTCCTCCACCTGGCATCTGTCCACAGGAAGCCAGGCATTTATACCTAAATCCCTTACCTTACAGAACTTCTTGTCTTGTGATAACACAGAAACATTTCACTGGAAAGAACTGGAAGGCACCTCTCCCACCCCACCCTGCAATCCATCTTCTAGATCTGATTGAGCAATATAAAATTCACTAATTATAAGTCACTATCAAGTAGATTGGCTCCATCAGGGAATCAAGAATTAACCACTAGCTCTTGTGTTGCTTATTTCTGAGAGACCTGTCTCTTAATCACCCACTTACAACCACACATACCACATTCAAAATATAGAAAGGATTTGATTTGGGCACAGAAGATGAGCACACAGATTCTACAGAGAAATTGATGCCATTTATCTGTGCTAGCTTTTTGCAGGTTTGACAGGGAGGAAATCTAGCAATTGGGCTGACAACTGTAATAAGACATAAGATTCTTTTAACATTCAGCACGATGCCTGACACATAGTAAGTGCTTAATAAACTGTAATGACTCCTACTGCTAAGCAACATCATTACCTTAAATTTTACCACAATTAGCATAGAATGAGCTGGCCTTATTCTCTAGAGAATATTCCCTATTCTTTAGGTGAACTCTGATTATAAAATTGGTACAACTTGGGGATGTAATTTTGACTCAGTGGTAGAATGCTTGCCTAGCTTGTATGAGGCATAAGGGTTTGATTCTCAGCACCACATAAAAGTAAATAAAACAAAGGTATTATGTCCATCTACAACTAAAAAATTAGAAAAAGAGTGGTATAACACTTTGATACATGGTAGACTCATGATTGATTTAAATGATCCATTCATCCCAGGATTGTGGCCTATACTAGAGTACCAGTAACCATCCAAGAAAGCACTCAAGTGGCCCTGCTTGTCATGACATTGCCACTTTGCCTACAGTCAGCAGTTATAGTTTCCTCATCTATGAAATAATAGGATTGCCCAGGGCAGGGGTCATGTACTCAAGCACCCAAAAGAATCAGGTAGGTAAAAAATGCCATGCCTCAGGATCAGTACCAGGCTGTTCCTTGGCCTTAGCACTGGGGAGCCATAGGGACATTTGGGACCATCCATGGGGCCTGGGTTTTGCCTACCATGAACTAGGTAGTTAGGAAACATGATCTTAGCTCATCCCTATAAACAACTCTGGAAGGTGTTTTATTTCCATTTAAAAGATGAGAAAACTGAGGCTTCTAGAAGTCAGTGACTGGGTACAGGGGCACTGAGCTGTTTAGGTACAGCAATGTCTGTTTCCAAAAGCCATTCTTCTAAGGGACAACATAGTATTTGCCCTCCAGGAATCTGCCTTAAGTTTAGGAACTTGCCTGAAGCTTCTTAACTTTCCCTTAACACCTGACTGTGACTGTGTCACTTAGATATTTTTCTAGATGTCTCTTCAGCTTACTTGTGTTTTCAGTAATTGTGGATCCTCATTTCTTAAGGAGAGTTTGGTAATAAGTGAGTTAAATAATAAAAACGGTTCCCTCCCTAGGACCTTTGCCTGAGCTTGTACCTATTTCCTCTAAAAAGAAAGAGAGAGACAGAGAGGGACAGAAATGTGTCAGAACAGAGGAGGAGGAACTTCTCAGCGATTGAGAGATATGTCTATTGTAAGTTAGTCATCACCCTTTTCTTACCTGAGGCAGGAGGAGCTACTACCTCCCACGACCTGTGGTCACCCTCACAACATGGTTACTAAGCACAAAGCCCTCCAGGCACCAGCCAAGTACACCTTGTGTGTGCTTTTCCACAAGTTGTCCCTGAGCCTTGGGGTTAGAGTTGGAAGTGCCCTAGGTTTTGGCAATAAAGAAAAAGCAAGCAAC